TGGGGATAATTCCGTGCATACACTATAGATTGGGGACCAAAATTACAATTCTCCCTATTTAGTTACTACAAAAAAATTTCTTGTATACTATACATGCTTTGTTATCTGGTCTAAAACACATTCAATAGTTATGTAGCTAAAAAAAAGTGTGTTAATATTTTATTTATGATTCTTCAAGTAGGTTCTATGACAATTTTTTTTTTTTGGGTTATATGTAAACATTAATCTAAAAACATTTCGGGAAACAGGTTGTACAAGTATTATTCAATCAAAAACCAAATGATTTATTAATTAAAGGACATTATTGTGTGGGAGGGCAGAGTAAGGACCCATCGACATCAATCCTTGTGCTATGTATGTTTGTTTGGCAACATTAATTTTTTAACATATGTTTGTGAATTAAAAAAAAAAAACTGTAGTTTGTGGTTTTTGATTTCTTCAATCCCTTTAGTCTAATTTGACAAGAAGTTCTTAAACTAGATTTCTTCACATTCTTAAATTTTGTTTGTTTCTCGACCATCAAGAAATTTGTATTATTAATGGCACTGCTTCTCATAGACCTTGTAGATGAACTTGACCTCTATGCTTGAATTAGTGGATGAAATTAAGCTAGTCTATGGTAAATCAAAAACTCATGCATTTTGAAAGAAAATTAAACATCTTCCCCACTAGATTGTGTGAATGTAAGAGGTTGTTTGGATTGCAACATTTTAAGAATTTTAGAAAAAAAAATCACTATAACAATTTTTAGGATATAATGTATTTGAGCCAAAAATAATTTAAAAATGTATAAACAATAATCACAAAAAATGTAAAATTTTTATTCAGGAAACAGCAATTCAAACAGGGGAGGGGATAATTTTATTTCTTTTTGTTTCATCTATGAATGATTTTACATGTTGTCATTCAACATACGACAAGCAATGGCTGCTTGGAATGTCCATCAAATACTGGAAATATTGGACGTTAGGGAACATTATCTAGGAAGGAACGATTATCAAGACAAGACAAGTTACCCAGGCTGATTATCTCTGTTTCGTGCCATGATTTTTGGTTGAGGTTAATAGTTTGATAGAAGATATTTTAAAAATTTGTATTATTATTCACAGTCACACTTTTTTTTTGATATGACGATATGAAATAAAGACAGTAAAGAAAAATAAAGCATGGATATAATACAGGTTTAATGAATATTAAATAATTTTTATCACTTAAAAAAAGAATATTGTTTCCAAATAATTTGATTTTTGAATACATGCTGTAGTTCTTTTGTCGTTTTGAAGCTAATTTTACTTAACAACTTTCCAAATTACTTTCCCCTGTCTTTGCCTAGATTTTAATCTTACTCATCATAACTATATATATACATATATGTAAGAAATATTGAATAGGAATCAACGTTTACCAGAAAAAATAAAAAGAAAAAAACCACTGAATTTTCCCTTTTTAAGTTTTGAGGGAGTGGGAGCAGCCGTCCTTGAACAATATAATACTTTTTGAACGTTTTGTAACTCTATATGAACTTCTTGTACATTCTTACAGTAGATGTGTGATATTTTATTACTGTTCATATGAATCCTATATATAATAACTGTGTCTCTGTTGTTAAGTTTTATAAGTAATTTATATCTTGTTAAGTTTTATAAGTAATTTACGTGGAGTTATATCTTGTTCAAAAAATGTTACATCAGTTAGAACAATTATTATTGACAACTGTTGTTTGTGCCTTGGTCCTTAGTTTTGAGTTGTCCACCAAATTAACCTGTCAGTTCTGTTCCTTAATCAACATAACCTGACAAAAACACTTAAAGCTTTTATCTGACCGAATCTATCCTTTTTATTGTTACAATCAAAACAATCATGGAGTTTTGTGTTGATATTTCTTTTTGAGCAAATCGTAATTTTTATTGATCAATTATGGAGCAGTATAGAGAATTTGTGTGATTATTTTAGTCCTTCATGTTTACAATGACATTTTTAGTCCGTAATTTATAACTTTCACAATTATATTATGATCTTGCTGTTAAGAAGAGATAAGTTTGAGAGAGAGAGAGAGAGATTGGTGAAGTTTTCCATGTATTTCACACATATCAGTACACAAGGATACAAGTGCCTATTTATAGGATTATACAAGAGTAGTAATTAGAGTCCTACCAACTACCAACTACTAACACCTATCAAATTTTTAAGTGATACACATTAACTCCTAATAGAATATTTACAACCTCACCTACCAACTACTACAACTCAATCCAACACTTGCCTCTCTCTCTCTCTCTCTCTCAAGAGCAAACTGTAACTTTCCACTGATTGAGGAAAAATGTTTGTCCAAGAGAAGAAACTCAGCTACAAAAAGCTATACTATTTACATATTACAAACAAATTCAGCAATCAAAACATGTAATCGACAGTGCCATTGCAATGCTAACTGCCAACTCTCATGGGTCTTTGGTATGTTGCCCCATGCTAGGACAATATTCCATCCTTCATGAAGAAATAGTCTCCATAATACCAATAGCAGATACTCAAACAAACTTGAAAATCACTGCATATTTCTTGGGGATAATTTCAGAAACCTCCCTTGAGATTTTTGACAATTTCATTCGGCTCCCTTGAGGTTTACATAATTACAGAGACCTCCCTTGATGTGATTAAAAGACAACAATACCCTTCATTAATTGTCAACTCATTTAAAAACTCTATCAAATATTAAACCTGTCTGATATATTATAAACCAATAATTCAAGCTACAGTCGTTCCCATTTAACTATCGATTCTCTTCCTTCTACATTCAAACTCATTTATTTATTATTATCAACCAAATGTTTACTGTCGCCACTAATAAAATCACCATACACACCAAACCACCAATACTTACATATTTTGGTATGTATTCCCAATTCTCGATTTTCCATTATTATTAAATAGTTTCATTTCGCCCATTTTTGTTTCCAATTTTTGATAGACATTAGCAAATTGAAATTGTCAAATGACAAATTGAGTACTAATTTCATTATCAAACTAGATGGAGATGAAGATAGTGACAGTGATAAAAAATAAAAATCGAGGATAGGAAGTGGAATAGGAACTAAATATATATAGGTTATATTGTTATGGTTGCCATGAAAAAAAGTGGTCTTGGTATATATTTATAAATGGATCGTGTTTCTATTTTTGATTTACAATTATTGATGTTATTCCTATAGAGAGAATTTGATTGATTTTGAACTTTATGCCAATGAAGTATATTGGATATTGGTATTAGTAGTGATGGTTTAGATTATTTTGTATTAAAAAGGTGGCAGTCATGGAATTGAAATTTAGCGATATTAATGAATATTGCTGTGTATTAAGTAAAATTTGATATTGATATGAGATTGTAGATAAGCTTTTAGGTATTTGGTGTAGTGTTTATAGTTGATACAATGGTCTGCAACAGAAATTTTTAGTTAAAAGAGAAATATTAGAACAAAGATATGTGTTTATTTAATAATAATTTGCATGTTAATAGATAGGTAATAGTGATAGCAAGTAAAGATAAATAAAATAGAGACTATAAACCATTTTTTTCCTTTATATTTGTTTTGTGAATTATAACTTAAGGGCATTATAGGAATTTTGAGAAAAATATAGCCTTTTGGGCCTAGAATGTTACCTAAATAGTGAAAATAGGGGAGATAGGTGTAATTTTTAGAATTTGAGGGGAGCTGTTTGCAATGGTCAAAAACCTCAGGGGAGCTATGTGAAATTAACCCTATTTCTTGCTTTCGATATCTGATAGACCACAAAAGCAAACACTAGCCTCCGCATTTCTTGCTTTTCCAAGTAGTCCTCTATTTAAATAAATTTCATTTCTTTTGTTTATCAATTAATAGTGTGTTTTTTTTGGTAAATCAAGTGGATCTTTTTTTTTTTGGGTGTAAAACCTTAAAGTTAGATGGATGTCAAATTACCTATATCCTTTTCTCATTCTTAAAGTTTTATTTTTTCACAATATCATTGTTAATGCTATTATTAAGATGGAGTTTTATAATATTTTTGTGGGGGCGCCACAAAAGAAGGAAAGATTAGCAAAAAAATAAAAAAATAAAATAGAAAAAGAACGATTGATCATCAAGATTTTATCAACTAAGCTACTTATCACAACTGTAGAGTTTTTTTTTCCTTTTTAAACCCAAAAAAAAAAGAAAGAAAAGAATTTACCCCAAACGATCCTGCAAAATGCTTCAGTAAATAAACATTTATTCACCAACAAAGACTAAAAACTAATCAACTAATCAATGGCCAATTTCAAGATTCTCTTTAAGTTACAAATTTTAATATCCTAAACACTAAGAATATCCTAGCTTCCCAGTAATGATACACTAATAGCTAAAGTCCACTTGCAAAAGTTGCCCCTCAAAGTTTAGTACATTGCTTAATCTACATTTAGTACATTGTGCCCCTCAAAGTTTATACATCTTGATCAGTCAGCTACAAATACTAACATGCCAATTCCATGCAAGATTTAAAAAATAAATAAACAAAACTGTTATTAAGGGAACAAATTAAGTCTAATTGACATAAAGTTCAATAGACTCAATACACTGTGTATCTATAACTTGATAAGGGAAATTAAGGTGAAAAGCATCCGTTTAGATAGTATAATTTGGAAAAAAAATTGCAAATGTTATCTTAATTACATTATAAACACAATTTTCAACAACTTTTTTTTTTTTTTACATATATTGCATTACAAAAAGTGTTACAGTATTATTCCAAATAATTTTTTTTTTCAAATAAACTCATATCCAAACACACATATACTAGAAGAGCAGAAGTGACAGCTTGTGAAAGGATGGCAAACATGGCATTGTTATTTCCCATTATACAGTTTTTTAAAATTGATTTTCCCCGACATTTTTCATGAATCATTGCAGGTACTCTTGGACGTTAACTACAGGCTTTTCAGACCAAATTTCGAGCAAGAAAGATATTCCATACTATCCTGTGACGGGAATCTCTGAGCCTCAGCTAATAGGGTATTTTGGCTCTATAAATACGGACGCATTTTTCTGGCTGATCATCAAGTTAGTCATCGTTAGCAACATATACTTGAACAAATTCATTTCTTCCCTAGTTCCCCAACAACATGGCCTCAACTGAAACTGCTCATCACTTGTGCAATGAGCATGAGATTGCCAGACCATTAGCCTACTTCCCTGAAAATATTTGGTCTGATCGCATTGCTTCATTTACTCTTGATAAGCAGGTTATATTTCCTTTTCATTACCATGCGTTTGTGGACAAATTGTAGCTTTTACTAGACTTCCGAATAAATACAGATCCTCACACATTATTTCTTGGGGAATGGATATGTTATAGATTTCTAGATTATGGATTATATATATATATATATATATATTTCGTGTTTATTTTTAAGAATTCTGCTCTCAAACTGAAAATGTCAATGTAACTTTAACAATCTCATTGAAGAAAGATATTTGTGATGTTTTCAGGAGCATGAAAAGTATGCCAAAGAGATTGAACTGCTAAGGGAAGAAGTGAGAAGAATGCTTTTGTCTACTGAAAATAATGTGATAGATCAACTAGATTTGATTGACAAAGTAGAACGACTTGGAATCTCGTTTCATTTTGACAACGAGATTGAAGAGCAACTTCAGAAAATATTGGATGAATGTGCCAACTTTGAGAAGTATCAGAATTTTGATTTATCCACCGTAGCGCTTCAATTTAGACTATTAAGGCAACATGGTTTCAATATCTCATGTGGTACGTAAGTTACTTTTTATACTGCATTTAGGAAACTCCAAGTTCCATCACTTCAAAAAAGAAAATATTTTGTTGTTTTTTTTTTTGGGTCTCCTACAGGAGAGGTGGTTTACTGAAGAATTATTTGTGAATTTTTTTTTTTTAACAGGTGTGTTTCAGAAATTTGTGGATGCTGATGGCAAATTTAAGGACTCCCTCGGCAAGGACAAAAGGGGTCTCCTAAACCTATATGAAGCTGCTCATGTGAGGACATATGGAGATAGTATTCTAGAAGAAGCCCATACCTTCGCAACCACTAATCTAAAAACATGTGGAGCACAACTTGTTGATTCTACTCTTGCAAAACAAGTGGAACATGCCCTAAAGCAGCCATTACATAAAGGCGTCCCTAGACTTGAGATTCGTCACTACATTTCCATCTATGAGGAAGACGAATGAAATGACAAATTGCTACCAAGGCTTGCCAAAATGGATTACCATTGGTCGCAAATGTTGCATAAACAAGAACTCTGTGAGATATTAAGGTACTTCATAAACTAGTCAGAGCAATTTTGCTTTAACTGGATTGCAAAATAATCTAATAATATTTCACGAAAGATAACGATTTTTCTGGTTAAGTGCTAGCTGGTAATAATAAATTCTAAAGTATCAATAATTCCATTCCATAATTGAATGTCGCAGTACGGTGTCCTTATTGTCAGCACTTGTTTCTCAAGCTTCAATAATTCTAAAGTATCAATGATTCCATTTCTAAAACTTTTTTGCTTGCCACTCAAATAATTTAAACCGTCCTTTGGGTCCTATGTCGGCCAAAAAGATTTCTCACATCCAAATTTCTCAATATTGATGATGCTAATAAAATCATTTGGAAAGTGTTTGGAAACTTTAGAATTACTATTAAATCTAGGGTCCCTCTAAATTGTTAAGATATATTTCAGGTACCATCATATTTTTTGTAAATGTAAGATTAATTAGAAAAAATAAATAAATGCAAATGAGTACAGATAAGATTAAATAGGAAAAATATATAAATGTAAGGGAAGGTAATAATAAATAGGCGTATTTTAGGTGTGTTGATGAGTGTTTAATAGTCACCTTTTAGAAAAACGGTTAAATCCAATGTTTTCAGAACCGGACCGGACCGGCCGGTTCGACCGGTTGGACCGCGAACCGGCCATGTCACCGGTCCGGTCTAATGCTAAAGCCAGAAGTTCATGGAGAACCGTTGAAACCCGGACGAACCGTGGGAACCGTTAAGAACCGTGAACCGGGGGTTTTTTAAATTCTTCAACAAAATATCAAGAATGGTGTAGTTAAGATTCAAACCTGGGTCTCCAAGTTTAAATATGACAATCTTACCGCTAGACTGTACTTAAGTTTGTTGAGAATTTTACTTGGCTAAAAAATATATTAAAACATCAAGTTCTTCTCTTATTTTTTTTTTCAATTTTTTCTTAACCATTTTTAACCCAAATATCCACAACAAGATTTTCTCAAGTCTTCACCATTATTATCAGGTTATTATCTTTAGCAGATTGTAAACAAGTTGAAATTTTCAACTTTTCTTGTTTTCCAACATTTTAGTAAGTTTAATTTTTTTCTTTTCAAGGTTTTTTTCTATATTATTATCTTTAGTTGATTTTTTGCATTTTCTTCTTTTTCCCCTCAAGTTTCATTTGTTTCCCTCATTTTTGTTTTATTTTTATTCGATTAATTAAGGATGAAATTTTTGCAAAAGTAGTGCACATCCGTGTAGGAATTGGGTAGGAATGACAAATAATAACATTGGGTTGGTCAAAAATATGGTAGTTGGCACATAATCGAAGCTATTGATAATTGAATTTAAAATAATTAATGGTATAGGATCATTGAATTTAATATAACATGTTAATTAGTAATGTTTAGTAGCAATTAATTTTTTATGTGTTTAAATGTATATTTGTTTTTCAAAAATTTTTAGTTTTTTTTAGTTTGAGCAATTAGATTTATATTTTTATAATAAAATTTTAACTTTTTCAGCTTAAGTTGATGAAATTGTGAAGGTGGTGTGGTTGCTTATCATGCCACTGATAAAAAGTTTGCTATTCAAATAGTTTGTCTTAATTTGAACTCTTTTATGGATTTTTTTAAGGGTTGTAAAAGAATTTCAATATTTAATTTATTTATTTTTTGTGTTTTTATTTGTGATAATTGGTGCACATTTGGATTGTATCTATTTATGTTTATAATGAATTTATGAAAACTTGTGGTGAATTATGATATTTTAATTATATTTATCATTCCATGTTTGGTGTATAACTTTTAGAAAATTTATTATTATCATAACTTAAATTAAGTTATGTTGGTAAAGTTCAAGTGTAGAATGAAACCTGCTTAGTACTTAACACTAAAAAAAAAAAAAAAAACAGTGAACCTTTGAACCGGCCGGTTGGACCGGTCGGACCGATCGAACCGCGAACCGGCTACCTCTCCGGTTCACTGACCGATCCGAGTTTAAAAACATTGGTTAAATCTATTGAAGGCAACTTCGACTTTAACATACAACTATAATAAATGCCGGAGTACTTTCTTTGTTGGTACTTGGTAGAGAGCTAGAAAACATCACCGTCACTAGCACAGATTTACTAGCTGGAAACAACTGAGAGTCAATTTACTTTGTTGTAGGTCAACCCATTTGATGTTCATGCAATACTGTTCTGTAAAGTAGGCTTCCAAGTGTTAATGCTCCATTAACTAGCTGAAAATCACTTGTTAATTTGCATCAATATATAATATACCGTTTGCTTCCAGGTGGGATGGCAGTGAAATTGGTCAACTCCCGGAGTACATGAAAACTTCCTTTATGGCACTTCTCAAATTCAATGAGAAGCTTGGCGAAGATTCAGCCTTAAAACAGAAAACCAATGCATTCAATCTATACGTGGAAGAAGTATGTTATGACATTGCCAGTTTAATGGACTTTGTTAACCATCTTTCATTTACAGCTTAACTATTTTTTCGAACTGCCTTGCTACCAATTGTAGAAGCAACTACATATGTTATTAAATGGAATTTTGTGCCTAAATCAGTTTGTCAAAATTTTTCCAAGAAGCTTATTTATACTTCTTTCATCTTTAAAAAAAAAAAAAAAAGACTTCTTTCATGTTAAGTGCATTGAAGAAGTAACGAGTTTTGTGCATTTTGTGGTTGACGAAGCAATCCTAGACTAAGATGATCCAAATCTTCTAAGTACTAAAATTCTAAAACCACCGAAATTTCCTTGTATTTGTAGTAATTAAAATGCCTAGTGCCTTGATCAAATAGTGCTAATATTCTTTTAAATTAATTTGTTTTAACTAGTGGAAAAATTACATGAGGGCAAGCCTCACACAGTCGAAGTGGTTTCTTACAAGAGAATTACCATCTTTTGCTGAGTACTTGAAGATTGGTATGGTCACAAGCACATACTATCTACTACCAGCAGCAGGCTTCTTGGTAATGGAGAGTGCAACAGATGATGCTGTCAAGTGGTTGTTGAGTAATCCTAAACTAATTCTGGGTATCACGAAACACCGGCGAATGATCAATGATGTCGGCACTTATGAGGTTTGAATTTCGTGACAGTTAAATTAGCCAACTCAAACAATGTCCTAAAACAAGCGCACACGTACAAACCTGGATTCTCATGTTGTCATACGTACATGTACTGGTCCGAATTTTTCATTTTTTTAAAATCAAAATTAACCTTCTACATTTCGTGAGTAGTAATTCATTTATCAAAAGTCTACTAATTCAATTTAATCTCTTGACGTTTCAAGTTTGAGAAATTAAGGGGTGCCACAGCAATTGAAATTTACATGAAAGATTGCAATGTATCGGAGGAAGAGGCGATGAAGAAGTTTGAAGACATGGCTGATGATGCTTGGAAGGACATGAATGCTGAATTCTTGAGGCCTACCGCCGTACCAAGAGATGTTCTTCTGATGGCTCTGAATCTAGCAAGGATTTGCGAAGTTATTTACAAGAACCGTGGAGATGGATACACCAAACCCCGTGAGCTAGAAGCCCATATAATCGCAATGCTAATAGATTCGCTGTCTGTTTGAGTTCGGAAAATGACATGATTCTGTGTTTGTTTGACTGGCGATTAAGAAGAGTGTTCATCCTTTGTTTGTTATGTCACCCTTCCCTTCTGGCTCCATGGTGTGCTTTTTTGACTTTTTGCTTTCTGTTTTCGTCATTCCTTTGAGCAGAACGGTGCATGTATCTATAATCCTATTATAGTATTATTAGTGTGAAATATAATCTGAATAATGTGTGTCAATGTGAAATTCCTTTTGTTTGGTATAAATTTCTTATTGTTTACACTTTAAGGTGGCTTATAATCGAGTTTAATTGGATACTCTGTCAAATTTCAACTATTAGATTTTTGGGCAAATTATATTTTATCCCCCTATGGTTTAGCATTTTTTTTTACATAACCCCATATGGTTTCAAAATTTATACATAACCCCCTCATGATTTGGATTAAAGTGTCAAAGTGAAAGAAATAGTCACTCGCAACGGAACTTCTAAAAATATCAAAATTACCCTTATAAATACATGACACATTAACCTCGTATGATTTTTATATTTTACTATATAACCCCCTTATGGTTTAATACTTTACCATATAACTCCCTTATAGTTTTTAAAATATACACATAACCCCCATTGGTTAATAAATTATTTTCAACTTTACATAAGGGTATTTTTGACATTTTAAATGACTTCGTTACGAATGGTCATTTTCGTCATTTTGACACTTTAATCCAAACCATAAGGGGGTTATGTATAGCTTTTGAAACCATAGGAGGGTTATATAAAAAAATGTTAAATTACAGGGGGGTAAAGTGGAATTTGCCCTAGATTTTTGGACGGGTGTTTTCTCATTTAATATTAATCAATGATTGCCAAAACAAATATTGACTAATGATTGGTAAATCATGAAATGTATGGGTCATTTTAATACATAATGTGTAACAAACAACACTTTAAAAGTATGACAGAGTATCAAGTGCCTTAATCACTGTTTAAGAGACTTCCACTTCAAATGTAGTCCCCGGAAGGTGACTTCCTGCACTATTTAAATTGTTTTATAAAAAGTTGTGTCTCGTTGCGAATTAACAAATTAAGAAGTCGGGTAAATAGACATCTTGTAGTTAATGAGAAAGGAAACATTAATAAAGTTTCAGTCTTAGTCATCAACTTAAATATGAAGTTTTTAAGCTTTTGAGTATATTTTCTTAAAATTTTTCTAACCAATGTCCATTGAATATTTATTACGCATCTAAATTCTATTCAACTTGTTTGTGATGATTTGGACTTGAGTTTGTGGAAACTTTGGCTTAAAGAAGGCATTATTCACGTAATTAAATCAAACTTCTTAGAAATGGAAATTTCTTATTTTAATTTAAAAGTTTTGGGTTATTATCACTTTACCCCTTTAAACTATATCACTACTATCAGTTTACCCCCTAACGTTATCTTTTAGTCACTTTACACCTATAAGTAATTCAACTCAACATGTTAAAAAATTTTGGACAAAAATACCCTTTTATTTTATAGCATTACTACATTGTTATTATCATTTTATTCGTTTGGATTATAGTGATACAATCACTTTAGTTCCTACTATTATTTTTTAGGCATTTTACCTCATTATTAATCTAACTAGTATGGTAAAAAAAATTTAAATATATTTACCTTTTTATATATAATTAAAAATAAAAAAGTTGGAATGCTTATTCTTCCTTTTTTTTTCACTTTAAAAGATCAAAAAATATAAAAATAAAAGGATTTTCTCAAATTTCTTTTTTTTCACACTTATTAATACTAGGAAAAGAAAAGGAGATAGGAAAGAAGGAGACAAAAAATTAGATTTTGGAAAAAAATAAAATAAAGAAAAGTCTAACATTATTGTATTACTTTAAGCTTGTCGGGATTACAATTGAAATTTGGTGGTAAACAAAAAAGTGAAATAATTTTAAAATAATAAAAGTATTTAATTCTTTCTTATTTGTAATTTTTTTAAAAAGAATGAGCTCTCTCTCTTCCCCCGTCCCTGCCCCCGCCCCTCTCCATCTTTCTTTTTTTTTTCAATATTAATAAGATTGTCAAGAAGAAACAAATTAATACTTTGACTTTTTTTCTTGATACTAAAAAGGAGAAGAGTCACTCTAAATTTTTTATTATGCAAAGAGGAGGGTATTTTCTTCAAAAGTTTTTTAACTTGCTAAGTTGGTTTAATGGTATGATAAATTGTTTAAAAAATAACTCTATGGGGTAAATTGATAATGAGACTATATTTTATGGGGGTAAAGTGATAATAATTTTAAGGGTCAAACATGTCTTTTCACTTTAATTAACAAACTCCGTTAAGTTTGATCGCTAGTTTTTGGGGTAAAATGACTAAAAGATATTAAGGGGAAATTGATAGTATCACCAAATGTTAAGGGGGTAAAGTGATAATAACCCAAAAGTTTTTGGCATAGTCAAATTTTAGTAATTTAGCTTTTTAGAGTATGGAGTAATTATTTGATAGTTTATTGTTTTAGTTGTTTTTAATTTCACCAATTATTGAGGATGATATATAAGATGTTTTATCATTGTATCTAGTTGTGAAGAGTGACGGAAAGAATTATGAGAGACTAGACCGAATATTGGTTGTTTAAAAAGCAATTCTATCCAAAAATTTTTCGCCGGTCTCAATATGAAAGTCTAATGTTTTTTCCTTTTTAATTTTTTCCTAATAGGGGAGCGGTGGGATGTAAACCAATGATTTTAAACTTGGATTGAACCGGCCAACCTGACCGGTAGAATTGGGAACCGGCTTGTTATTCGGTCTAAATCATCTTAAATAACCACTTGTCAAAACTCGGTAAAAAACCAAGTTTGACTAAAAAACGAGTAAAATCGATAAAACCCAGGTTTTGTTCTTCTTTTTTTTGGCAGTATTTTTTCTGCTGCTGATTTCTTTTTCTTTTTCCTAAAACTTTCTTCATCTTTGAAGCCTTAATTTGATCCCTCCAACAATCTGGTAATATGTATTGCAAATCACAGGCAAAAAGTGTTAAGAGAAAATAACAAAAAAGGAAGAGAGAAGATAGATCTATGAATATATCTTCATTATCACTTTCTAAAGATCTACTCCTTCCATTCCAATATTAGAGTCATTTTTTGAAAATTCAACATTTTTATGGAAACATGATAATCATTATGTTTAGATGAGATGACAGTGGTGAATTTACATATGTATCCTTTGAATTCAAGATATTTTCTTGATAGATGTGTATTGAAAATTTAAAAAGTTGCTTTTTCAAATGGCAATATTGGAAAGCATGTATTAAATTTGAAATAGTGACTCTTATTAATATTTTTTGGGTACAAAGGAGACATCAATAAAGTGACTTTTATTTTCAATCTTATTTTGAGACACCAATAAAGTGAAAACATGACAACAATAATGGGACGGAGGGAGTAGATCTTAATGAAAAAGAAGAAAGAAAGAAATTAACAAAAGAATGAAAATAAAGGAAGAGAGAAGGAATCTTGCCTGTTTGAAGAAAAGAAACAAAAAAGAAAATCATAAAATAAAAGGAAAAAAAGAATGCAGAGAATGAAACCCCCAAGTAATTTGGTGATGATGAATGCTGGTGATATGATGATGTCGTGTTTTCCCTTGCCCTTTTTAATCTGGTGAATTTCTGCTGTCTAATAACATTGGTTGAAGTTGACTGGAAAAACCAAAAAAAAAAAAAAAATGGAGGAGGAAACACTAGTTGAGATTGAAGAGACTAAGAAACAGGCGGAAATGTTCCCGCTTGGTGCACGAGGTGGAATTAATGGGGTGAGTATAAGGGATAGGTGTTTGGACCAATGAAGAGTGGGAAGACAAAAGACAAGGCCAACCGCCCTCCAAGCTTAAAAATTTTCTAATTTTGTGTGTTGGCCCTTTATGTTTTGAACAATTACAATTATGCTTCCAAATTTCTTTTATAATTCTTGTGTGCAACTTTAGCTTTTGCACTTTGTACAAATAAGCCTCAATTTTGTCTAAGACTTATCATGAATGTCCATTTGAACTTTATAAACGTTAACAAATTAATTTAAAATTTGATTGTTGTATTTTTATTTAAAATTCGTATTAAGTATTTGATATTGATTTGTCATTTTGTTCAATTTGTAACTCAATTGTGTTTTAAGAATTTGATGTGATGCAAGGAATATGAGGTAACAATGAACATAATTAATATATTATTGTATTTTCCCATATTATTTATTTAAAAAAATCAATATATATTTATGACATCATATTGACATCATCCGATTTTTAATATTGATTCGATCTAGTTGAACCCATTGATCCGATCGAGTTGCTTGCCAGTCCGAGTTTCTAAACATAGATGTAATCCTATCTATCAAAACTCGTCCAGCTTTTTTGGTGCTAGCAACATTTCAACAAGTTGTGCCTCAACAATCAGAAGGTAAAAGGTGAAATCGAGTACGCAACAACGCATTCACTAAGAAAGGCTATAACATAATTACATGCTTTATGACCTTACGATTAGGGTGATCAAGGAACGCAACTATCAATGTGCTTTAACATGTAGCAGGAATAGTTGGATGGTTAATTCACACAACTATATCATTGGCAGATTTTGCCAAAGAAAAAAATGAGAAAAGGAAAAGAAAACATGTTATGACGAGATCAAACGATGTTAAATCTGTCATCTGGTCACGAGTTTGAAAATTTGATACGCAACAAATTCAGGGCCATGCAATGGAAAGCCAAGGAGAAAGGGGATGAAAATAGAGAGGAACAGGTAGTTAGACCTTGGTCAAGGATCTGGGGGATTCATGTACATGTGCTTTATGTGATGCTGTAGAGGAACCGGAATACAAAGGGGTTGCGCGAACACTTTGCATCAAAGAATCATTACACGAACGAAATCCAGGCATGAATCAAAGATTCATTATAACGAGAGAGATCTCTCAACAATTAAAATTTGATTAATAGTTGATAAAAGACTAACCATTATAACCCTAAGGTCATGTTTGATAACTCAATTTAGCATTTAAATTTAATGGATTTAGATTTTAAAATATTTAGATGCATTTAATAAAAAAAAAATAGAACATCTGAATTAATTAAGCGGCA